ATTCTTGTTACTGGATATTATTTGGTAGTGTGATAGTGCATGTCTAGGAAAAGTTCTGGCAAGGAAAGACTTGGTATTTAAGCGTGTCCATTAGTGACCTACCTCTCTTTCCTAGGAACTTACCTGGTGTACTGGTTCACGATCTACCGCTTTTGTTCGAATAGGCAATATTATTCATAGTGAGGATTGCATAAGTCGGTTTTGGAACCATGACAAAAAAATATGAGATAGAGAAGTTCAATGGGAGTAATTTCTCATTATAGAAATTGAAGATAAAGACAATTTTGAGGAAGGACAATTGTATTGATGCAATTACGGAAAGAATCGTGGAACACACAAATGAACAACGATGGAAAGAAATGAACGACAATGTTATTGCGAATTTGCACTTATTAATGGCAGATTCGGTTTTATCTAGTGTTGCGGAGAATACTAATGCAAAGGAGATTTGGGATACCCTCATTAAACTATATGAGGTGAAGTTACTTCACACAAGAATATTCTTGAAAAGAAAACTCTATACTCTTCGGATGAGTGAGTCCACATCAGTAACAGACCACATCAACCATTTGAATACATTGTTTTCCCAACTATCAGCGACAGATTTCAACATAGTTGAAAATGAGCGTACAGAGCTTCTACTTAAGAGTTTACTTGAATCGTATGATAAACTCATCATTAATATTACAAATAATAATATTGGTGGGAATATGCACTTTGAAGATTTCGCCGGAGCTACTCTTGAAGAAGAATCCAAGCAGATGAGTAAGGGCGAAAGTTCCAAACAAGCAAAGGTTTTGATAATGATGAGAGGAAGATCAACGGAACGTGGCTCTAGTAATGATAAATCAAGGTCTTAAAGTAAGAAGAGTTATAAAATCAAATGCTACTTTTGTGGCAAGAAAGGACATACGAGAAAAGAGTGTTGAAAGAGGAAGAATGGAGGAAACAACTTTGAAGAATCAACCTCACAAGGTTGAGTTGTAAGTACCTCGGAAGATGGAGATATTCTGGTGAGTGAAGCAGTAATTAGCTCTAATGGTTAAAATGAGTTTCATCACAAGTAGATAGTTGATTCTGGTGCAACATGACACATGACTCCGCACCGAGATTGGTTTCACACTTATGAAATATTCTCAAGTGGATCTGTCTTCATGGGAAACAACCATGCATGGATCTGTCTCCATGGAATCTTGAAGGTGGTGAAGGGGAGTTTGGTGGTCATGAAAGCAAAGAAGATTATGGCAAATTTATATGTACTGCTTGGAGATACATTACAAGAAGCAAATGCATCAGTTACGGCAACAAGTCAGGAAGATGCAATGATCATGTGGCATCATAGAATTAGTAATATGTCAGAACATGGTCTGAAAATCCTTGTAGAACGTAATCTCTTACCTGGGCTTAAAGAGGTTAGTTTACCCTTCTGCGAGCACGGTGTGATTAGCAAACAACATAGATTGAAATTTTGCTAGTGACTGCTAAAAGTAAACACATATTAGACTTGATTCATTCTAATGTTTGGGAATCGCCGGTACTATCTCTCGAAGGAGAAAAATATTTTGTATCGTTCATCGATAATTACTCCAGGAGATTGTGGATATACCCTATCAAGAAGAAATTAGATGTGTTTTCACATTTCAAGGAATTCAAAGCACAAGTAGAACTTGAAATTGGGAAAAGAATGAAGTGATTGAGGACAGCTAACGGAGGAGAATATGTAGACAGAGAATTTTTAGCATTTTACAAGCAAGAGGGTATTACCAGACAATTTTTTGTCTCACATACGCCTCAGCAAAATGGTATAGTAGAACGGATGAATAGAACTCTCGTGGAAAGAACTAAAGCTATGTTGCGAATAGTTGGAGTAGCCAAGTCTTTTTAGGCAGAAGCGGTTAAAACTTCCTGTTATGTTATAAATTGATCACCGTCAACCGCCATTAGTTTGAGCACACCAATGGAGTTATGGAAAGGTAAACCAACTGATTATTCATCCTTACATGTTTTTTGTTGTCCTGTGTACGTGATGTACAACACTCAAGAAATAATAAAATTGGATCCAAAATCCAGGAAATGTATCTTCTTGGGCTATGCTGACAATGTGAAGGGGTACCGCCTATGGGACCCCACTTCCCACAAGGTTGTTGTTAGCAGAGATATAGTCTGTGTAGAAAATGAACTGCAAAATGAGCAGACAAATGACAGCTTGATAGATGACAAGGTTATAGTACAGATGGAGAGGAAGTCTTCGGATGAGTCGTCTGAGTCAGAAGAGGAGCACGAAGTTTAAGAGCCAAATGAGGTTGGTAATGAAGATCTCTAGCGATAAACACGAGAAAAAGTCAGACCATCTTGACATGTGATGGCAAGTCATGATACATATTGTCTTTTAAACGAAGAAGGAGAACCTTCAACCTTTCAAGAGGCTATGAGTTGTTCAGATGCTTCTCTGTGGATGACTGCACTGCAAGAAGAAATGGAGGCTCTTCCTAAAAATAAGACATGGAATCTTGTGAAACTTCCGAAAGGTTGAAAAGCCATTGGTTGCAAATGGGTCTATAAGATCAAGAGAGATGACAATGATCAAGTAAAAAGATATCGTGCTAGATTGGTGGTAAACGGATATGCTAAAAAAAAAGGTCTTGATTTCAATGAGATATTCTCTTTGGTTACCAGATTAACGCCCATCAGAGTTATCCTGGTTATATGTGTTGCATTTGATTTACATCTTCAACAATTGGATGTAAAGACTGCTTTTTTTCATGGAGATCTTGAAGAGAAAATTTATATGCTCCAACCAGAAGGCTTTAAAGAATAAGAAAATTTGGTTTGTAGGTTGACCAAATCTCTATACGGTCTAAAACAGGTGCCTAGATGTTGGTATAAGATATTTGATTCCTTCATTATTTGCCTTGGTTATAATAGACTAAGCTCAGACCATTGTACATACTACAATAAGTTTGGTGATAATGATTTTGTTATCTTGTTATTTTATGTGGATGACATGTTAGTAGTAAGCCCCAACATAGATCGAATCCAATAGTTAAAGGCACAATTGGCTAGGGAGTTTGACATGAAGGACTTGGGGCCAGCAAACAAGATTTTAGGGATGCAAATTCACATAGACAAAAAAGATAGGAAGGTTTGGCTTTCTCAGAAGAATTACTTACTGAAAATCTTGCAACGCTTCAACATGCAAGATTGCAAGCTAAGTTCCACCCCATTTCCTATCAATTGTAAGTTATGCTCAAGTATGAGTCCTAGCAATGAAGCGGAGAGGATGGAAATGTCTCGAGTATCGTATGCATCGGCAGTGGGAAGTCTTATGTAAGACATGATTTGTACAAGACCAGACATTGTACAAGCAGTGGGAGTAGTTAGTAGATTCATGGGAAATCTTAATGGAGAGCATTAGAGTGCTATAAAGAGAATCCTTAGATACATCAAAGGAACCTCAGGTGTTGCATTATGTTATGGAGGATAAGAACTAGTTGTCAGAGGCTATGTTGATTTAGATTTTGCAGGTGATCGGGATAAAAGGAGATCTACTACTGGTTATGTGTTTATAGTTGCAGGAGGGGAAGTAAGTTGGTTATCCAAGTTACAGGATGTTGTAGCTCTGTCTACCATAGAAGTTGAGTACATAGTAGCTACCTAAACATGTAAGGAAGCTATTTGGATTAGGAAGATAATGGAGGAACTCGGGCACAAGCAACAACAAAATTGTTATGTATTGTGACAGTCAGAGTGTCTTGCACATTACAAGGAATCCAGCTTTTCATTCTAAGACAAAACACATAGGAATAAGATATCATTTTGTTCGAGAAGTAGTGGAAGAGGGTAATGTGGATATGCAAAAGATTCACATAGATGAGAACCTAACAGATGTTATGACAAAGCTAGTTAGTGTTGACAAGTTTTTATGAAGTCGATCCTACTATGGCCTAGCGGAAAAATAAGCAACATGGATGATAAGAATAAAGCAAGCATGGTATGAAGATTTGATTAATTTAATCAAAATCTTCAAGTGGGAGATTGTGAGAAGAAAAGTCCTACATCAGGAAAATCTTAGTTTGACACTTCTTTTCTTACTATAAAAGGAGCACAGTAATTACCTTGTAAGATGTATCAAAATTACTTCATTTTCTTTCTCTTGAGAGATAAATTAAGAGAGAAAAATAGTTTCTCCCTTAAGGTTCTCTTAGAGTTGTTTTTCCTTTATTTTCAGAAGAGGGTTTTATTGTTTCTTCCTTGGAGGTAGAGAGAGAAGGGTTGTAATTTCTTTCATTAGTGAAATTACTCTTTTACTTATTGTCGGTGTTTTTCTCATCTTTTTATTTTTAGTTGTGTGTGTTTATATTTTTGTCTAATACCTAACATATAATAACTCAAATAATAGAAACCCTACAATCAACATGTTTCATCTAATGTTCCTTTAGAGAGTAAGACTCATCTTCCAAGACTTGGAAACTAAGACACACCATGGTAGTAAGTTGTTTTTTTGGAACCAAGAGGTTCAACTACTACTTGCCCAAACACCATTTTCCTTATGACCAAATGTTATTTCCTTGCATAATAATATTAAGTAAAATTAAACCTTGTAAAAGGGCAACAAAACATGAACAATTGATCTTACCAAACAACCAGACATTTTATCAAACAACCCTATACCCAACTAAATAAAAACTATACTACAAAACTCTAAAAACATGACTTAGCATTACACAACATAAAAACTAGAAGGAGAAATCATAGACATTGATTATCTTTATCCAAAAACCTCCCATTTACATAAGATGTAAAACTTGTCATTTCTTACAAATTAACTTGTCATTTCTTACAAATTAACTAACATCAATAATAAGAAATTCAAACTTACCCTTAACCAAATGAATACTTCATAGAAACAAACTAAAATAAAAGTTTAAATACAGAAAAATAGGTTAACTAAGGAATTTAACTCTAATTACAGAATTCAAATATATGAACAACAACCTTATCTATGAGACCAACAACAACATTGATGAACTTGCATCTCCAAGAATAAGCCAGAGACAATTAGGGGACCAACTAGTTTGTGATTCCAATAATAGTACATAAACCTCCTCTAACTGGACAAGATAGAATCAAAAGAGTCAAAACATAACACTCATCTTCCACCATCAATAATCATAACAAAACAAATTATTTCAAACAAAAAAGTTAAAATAAGTTCTTTACCACTCTTTGGAGCAATCCAAATCACAACCACCCCATAGGACACAAGGGTAACAAGACGAGAACAGTCTAAATCATAGAAAACAAAGGAACATGATAACATGTATGAGAACCATGGGAACAAACTGAGGCACAACACATGTTAATCACAATACAACTTACACATCCTATCTCTAGCAATCACGACGACGATCCTGGAATTATGTAAATGATCATGTCCGTTGAAGTTAAATGTGGGGTAGGTCAAACATTTTCTATATTTTAAATAAGAGTGGATTGTTTTTCTACAATCCAAATATTTATGGGACAACTAAAAAATTAATAAAATAATAAATATTATTATTATTATATTAGAAAAAAATTGTTAAATTAATTATGTGTTAAATTGATATATATATATATATATATATATATATATATATATTTTGTTACAAACAATCAATATTTTATAATTATGTTATATATGAAAATAGTTTTGTTAAGAGAATATTTTCCTTATTTTTATTGATATATAACATTATATTTATTTTATTCTAGAATGATTAATATTCAATCTTAAAATTATTATTATTTATATTATCTTAGATGTATAAAATATCTAAATTTGTTAAATATTATCCTCTTTATAAATACTAATTAATGTTTTAATATATGAAATATATATTTTGGATAACCAATAGATAAGGATAAATGCTAAATAATGAGTAGCTAAATTTGTCAATTTTATAAAATAAAAGCTTTCGTGTTGGTCCATTGTCAGATTTTCAGTGCACAAGATCATGATTTTCAGGTTCATTATCGACAATTGTCACAGAGACACTTTATAATTTAGAATACTATCAGATTATATGGAACACTAGATAATATAATTTTATTTCAATTATTTTACTTATGAATAACACTTTAAGATGGATTGACAGTTTTCTGCGTGCAATTTCTTCACATGCACTGAAATGTAAAATTTTAAAACAATTACTTAAATAATTTTAGTAAAAGTGTTGTTTTTTTATACATTACAATAATTATTTTCGTAATTAATAATATTTTTATTATTAACAATAAAATAAATAATAATTAAATTTTATTATTATTAAAAATAATAATCATATTTATTATTAATATTACTATCTTATTATTAATTATATTAATAATATAAACATACTTATTATTATTTTACTACTAATAATAATAAAATTATAAAATAAAAAACTATCATTATAAATTATAACAATAAAATAATAAAAATTACACCAATTTAGTTATTATATTTTAATAATAATTTTTATATAATTATTATAATTAATATTATAAAAATAACTTTTTATTATTATAACTGACAATAATAATTTTAATATACTTAATTATTATTTATTTTAATTATATTATTTTGATTATAATTAATAATAAAAAAGTAAAAAGTATGTTAGATCATTAGTATAATTAATAATAATTATTATTATATGTTTGATTGCTACTATTATAAAACATATTATTAGTAATTATTATAATATAAATTAAAAATAGATAATACAACTTTTATATATAAAATAAATTAAAATCATACTAAAATCACAATTTCTTGTTATCAAGTTATGCGTGTTAACACAATTTACATAGTATATTTTTTTTTAAAATATATCCATTTTGATAAAATTGAGAAAAAAAATCATACTATTAATTCTGGCTTGACACATTTAATGTTTTGCATTTTGTATATTTAGAGATTAGAATATTTCATCGAGGTTTCAGTGAATTAACATTTTCATTTATTTTCAATTTTTTTTGCAAATTTATTTTAAAAATTTATTAGATACAATTTAAAATAGAATTCTCAATCATCATAAACCCTAGTTACTCTTCATTACAACAACGGTCAAAGCGTAGGTACTGCTGCAAGAGCAGTACCATTTTTTTGTATATCTGTCAGCTATGTCATCCATACTCACTTGGTGGGGACTTCTGTAGATTTGCACTCCAAGACAATCGTAAAGTTGATCTGGGCATGAGTAAAAAAAATCATTATAGCACCAAAATATCAGCATCTGCACCAACACAGAAGTGTGAAGTTATTTGTCATACAGCTTGAACTCAATTCTGTGAAACTACTTACAACTTTATATAATTTACTGCACCCAAGCTGTTAATTTAAGTGAAGTAAATTTGTAAATACATTTTAAATCAATTTTTGAATTGCAAGCTCTTTGACAGAAGTTGTCACTCTGCTGAATACTTTGAGATTGTGCCCTACTTTTTCCTGAAAAGAAAAGCAACCACCCCAAAGTGAGCAACCTGATTTCATCTAAATACATGACAATCTAGCAGATAAGGTCATATTCCAGACTTGAATAAACAAGAATCACAGAGTTAGACCCATACCTCACTCAGCAACTCAAGCCGCTCAAGGATTGGGACTAACTTTCCACATAACAAAGCAATGTCCTGTTGTGCATTATACTTGGTACCATATGTAATTGTTTTTGTTGTAAAGGTCGATTCAAGTGTAACAGAGCTGCCAAAAGATAGAAAGATTAGCCAAGAGCTCAGATGTCAAGATAGGGCTTTATATCATATTCCCCGTATAACATTAATCTTCAGGGAGAAAAGATTGAAACTGATTTTAGTTAATAAAAACATTCTTATCACCTTTCCAGAAACTTAATGCCTCACCTCTCTTGAAGATGGATAAGGATGATATTTAGCACATGCTCAGAGAGTGGGAGCAATAAAATGATTAGCTGATCCCTACTAGCAACAACTCGACACATTTCTACCATTGCAATGTATCTCCTGTAAAAGATGTTTTAAGAACCACACATGGAATGTTATCTGTCTATAAGCAGAAAGATACTAGAAATTTGGAGAACATGGTAATATACATTCAGGCAATTCATAAAACTCTATAATTAAAGCCTTCACACAAATGACTAACCTTTTCTGTATGTTATCTGAAGATGAAACAGAGTCTTGCCTGACACACATATTGATGATTTCATCCACTTCCTGCCTCGACAGTTCATTTATGTCTCGAATCTGCAGATATGTGAGTAAGGTGTTGCTCATACATCCACATATTAAACAATCAATAATGTAAACCAAATCAAGATGTAGACAAGTTTCTTTGCATTTTCACCTTATTCAGTAGTAAGGATTTCTCTTCAGCTGCCCTTTCAAGAGCAGTTGTAACATAAGAAAGAAGACAATTAAGCAAGCTCAATGTAGGTTGTTGAAGTTCAACAGAAGTAGGGTAACCAGAGGAGGCATCTGAAGGCTGAGACAGCAAATTACAAAAAAAAAACGACAAATTTATGTTTTACTATCACAGAAAAAAAAAATGCAGATACACTAGATGATTGGGGGAAACTAGCTCAAGGTCAATAAAAACTGCCTGCTGAAAGTATAATATACCTGTAACCTCAGGGATTTCTTCGTGACTAGAAAATATAAGTAAGAGCTCAGGCTGTAGCACAAATTAAACATCCGTAGTTCTGAATTCCTCTGATTCTGATAATTCATTAGGCAATATCACCAACATGATGCACACATAAAGCAAGGACATTCTTTCTCATAACCAAAATAAGAATTAAGAAAACTGCAAACTCACCTCAGGTGATACTCTTGATTGGGCAAAACTAGGAATCTTTGAATCACGTGAGAAAAGAGCATACATCATACCAAAAAGCCCTTGAACAAAACCATATTCGTCACTCTCTTCGTATGGCCAAACCTAATAAAAATCAAAATGTAAATCAACAGAAAGAAACAACCATCGCTCTAAGTAGCATTCCGAAGCCTCTTGGGGCTAGAACTAGGATGTATGTCAACTAGGATGTATGTCACCATTGCGCATGGAAAATGATCATGCTAAATCTGATATGTGAAAAGTAAAGTTCCCAAAGAATTTTATTATATAGTAATTTATGTAAATATAATATTTTTTTACTTCAACACCTAAACTGAAAGTTGGAGAAGCTAGCATCACACGTTCAGTGAAAGGTCTTCGATCTTTAAATCTGCAGAATTAATTGAACAATACCTTGCTAAGAATACCAACAACTAAATTGATCTGCTCCATTCTTAGTTCATCTGCTTCTACAATGTCGAAACGGAGAACCTGATCAAAGAGTGATTGATGCCCTTTGACAAAATCTATTACTTCCCGAACAATTTTGTTTGTCACCTATATTATACACGAAGCAGAATGGTACATCACCATCTTCATCAATGAAAAAAAAATGGATTTCCTTTTAAATAGAATTCAATCACAATTGAAATAATCATAAAACCAATAGGGAATCAGGTGAAATGATTCACTAGCAAGGGAGCAAGGAAAATTCACAGAAAATGTTATACTAATAACTTTGTACGAGCACAAAAGCCAACCTCCAAAAAGTCAGATGTATCAACCAAGGAAGTTAGTGAAAACACTAATCTCATGACCGGAGTTATAATCATCCGTTGTCTATCAATATCCACAGCCATATCTCTTCTAGGTCTTGTCTCAATCCACCTTAAACTTCCCTGCAGATTCTTTACTATTCAGTAAGTTAACCTAATTTAAGTAGATGTGGCATTAACAAGGAAAAATTTCCTCACCTGTAAATTGATTGCCCTGCCAGATGCAAGATGCTCCAATATGCCCATGGAAAATAGTACCTGTGCTCCAGATTTCCCATACTTGTGGCTTATTCTTAGTAGTAAAGCAAGTTCAGCCTCAAAAGTACATGCCCTTTGCAATGAGTCCAGTGAAAGACTACCGCCATCCTTGAACAAGACATAAATGAATTAAATCAGTATTATAGTATCCAATGTAGTCAAGGCCTTATGAATCATAATCCCATACTTTAAATCAGTGTCTATGGCAAATCTTCGGAAAGATTGGCACAATATGTTGAACGTATCATGCTATAAGTTTCCTTTTTTAAAAACGTTTTTCTTTAGTTCTTGAGGATTTGGCATCCACTGGCATATCCTTTCTATTTTAAAGAAAAATTCTTTGTGGACGTTAGTTTCACATTTCATTTTGCATTCCCAGGAATTTTATACCCAAGAATGTCATTCCCATAGAAGTGTTTAGTTGTTATTAGTAGTTTTATAAAAAAGGTACTTTTTTAAAAATTAAAAATAAAAGGAAAAAAGAAAGAAGATTGTAATGAAAATAAGTAGTTATTGTAGACAACAACTTCCATTCCCATGAAAATGAGATACTCATTCGCACGTCAAGGGTATTAGAAATTGCTTAATACCTAAGTGCGATTTTCCTGTGAAATATTTCCATAACTTCCATTCCTATCTCCCGAGAAAAAAAGATGACATGGAACAAATACTTTGCTATATTAAAAACATGTTACGGGCATGCCAACATACAATTGTAGCACATGTTACATAAGGTACATTTTACCTTTGAAATCTGTCTTATATAACCTAAATATAATTTCAATGAGCAAAAATTAACAGCATACATTGCAAGCATAACAGCAATAACTAAACAACAAACACACACACACACACACACAATCAATTGATAAATAGAGTAGGACAAGGATATCGTTTTTATTTTAAAAATTACAATTCATAAATTTTATCTCAATCAACAAATGGGTTAAACTAGTAAAATAATGAAAATGCAATGATATTATCAGAACCAAAAATAAACATTAAAAGAATTACATGTTAGATGCCTTCTCCAAAAGAGTAAACAGTCCACAACTGCTGACCCAAAATACAATGTTTCAAAATAGAGGAACAGTTTATGGTGGAAAGAACAAGCACCTGATTGCAAACATTGGTTATGGCTGTAAAGCAAGACCTTAAAAATCCTCTGCTCTGAAGTTGGCTTAAAAAATAGCGCTCATGATCTATACTAATCAATGCATCAAGAACATAAAGTGCTACTGTCTTTCCAGGTTCACTACCATGGGTTGCATCTTTTATGACCTACAATTTTAAATTGATTGAAACTGTAAATAATTGACATGAAAATAATGAATAAAACATACTCCGGGAAATTAATGATGAACAGACCAAAATTTGACAATAATAGCAAATGGAAGAAACAATACTATAATATATCTTGTCAGGGAAACAAAGGAAATTGATATTTCTGCAATCTAATGTAAGGATGGAATATTAACTACAATTTCAATTGATGCTAAAACTACAAAAAATAAAAACACATACCTCATTTTATTATGTTAACGTGAATGCTCGTTTCATTTTATTTTAAACAAATGTTTTCTGTAGAGATTTTGGACGGAAAAATTGATTATATCAGAGAAAAAGAAGTTTCCAAGCAACAGCTTATTTCGTGCTTTATCCCCCATCCTTTTCTTCATCCCCAAACTAAATCAACAAATTGTGAACAACAATCTTTGAAGAAAATAACTAATAGTCTTCTACAGGCAGAAGCACGACCCTTTTCCAATCCCATAGTAAAGTTACAAAAGACTACCCATATGCACTAAAAAATTTGTGTTCTGAATAGTCAGTCATGCATATAAAAAAAGCTTAATAAGGGTAGCATATAACCAAATTCAAAATGCTCTGAGCTTCTTTCCTCAAAGTTGAAAAGTTTGCACGAGCCAGTTCTGCCTGCTCTTTGTCAATCTGGGAAAAATGGAGAAAAAAATGCAGTGAAGATTTAATCTGCCACCAGATTAAAATAATATTTTTGCACAAAATTGAAGAAATTGTACCTTTGGGAGATCAATATATTCATTGTCTAGTTCATTGAGCAGCAAGAATTGAAGAACTGTTGATGGAACATCAGGATCAACCACATTTTGACAATACTGGAAATAGCTAAGAAAGAGAGCATATTGACTGTACAAAGATACGCAAATGTAAGTTTGCCACTCAAAACTTTATATAGCCAAACAACCAGAATGAGTTACTGAAGATGAAACATACCGTCTCCTTAGAGCTTCAGAAGATTCATTTCTAAGAATTCCCATAATAAGCTTAAACAATATAGTCAGACAAGCACCATTTGATAATTGTTTCACCACAATGAGATCCAGGCACGTAATATTATCAGAACTAAGACTACCAGGGAACAAAAATCTTTCATCTCGCAGCTTAGCCATGCATGTCAATGCTACCTGAAAGAAATTTCAGGTTATGAAAATATAAATCAGTCTGCCTGGACTCACAAATATAAAAGATGGCTTGGATTGTTCAAGACCTCATTAACATTTGTGGAGGATAAAATGATATATTGGAATATTTACCTGTGAGAGTATGAATGCCATCCTCAATGAACAGTCTGGAGAAGCAGAAGCAGTAAGAGACGCATCAAGGACCCTGACAATAGAATTTAACAGTAACATAAAGTGCACCAATAATGATAAAATCCACAATGACTACAGTTTTTGCTTTTTAACTAATGAAGAAGTGAAGCAACTCACTGAAAAAGAATTTCAGATCGATCTTCAAGCATTATTAATCTTCTAGAAGCAGACACCTTAACAAAATAGAACAATGTTAGAGAATGTACATAGATGCTAGCTGGAGTGGAAGACTTGGTCATGTCTCCCACCATTGGAAAACATATTGTAGCCATTGGATTAAATACTTAAAAATTTGATGGCTAAAGATTTCCCTTCATTTTTTTTTTTTTTAATTTATCCCTCTACAAGTTCTGCTGCTCCACCTCCATTGCCTTGCTCCATCATTACCCTCTTCCCTGGACTGTTTCAGTTTTAAAGAGGAATACCACGAGGGAATTCATCTTTGTTTTTGTGTGTGTGGGACGAGTGATCAAGTTTCTAGTATCAAGAAACTTAACACCCACCACCACACCTCCATAGTCACCCACGTGTGGCAGAAAAGAGAGAAAATGGAAATCAATGGGTTTTGCACTAGGTTTCAATAAGGTTGAGGTGGGATGGGGGTAGGGAATTTGAGGTGGGTTTTGTGGAGAGGTCAATGGTGGGTGGGGTTTGCTGCAGTTGTAGTGGGGTTCATTACAGTTGATGGCGGCATTTCGCTTCGGCTCAAGGTGTCAATGCTACAGGTGCTACTTTGCTAGGGTGCAATGTTCGCCAGTCCAAGAAGGTGAATACAGCAGATCATGCTGTTGTTGAAGACAGTTGAAGTATTTTCTGACAGTGGAGAGGTGGATTTTCTGAAGAATGCCAAAGAAGAAGGATTTGGAAGCAACAATGAGAGGATGTGGAAGAATAGGGAAGGGAGTGTGGTGAGAGAGAAGGAAGAACGGGTAAATTGAAAAAACAAGACAGAAATAGAAATAGAAAGATCTGCACCTCAACAATCTGAGACCAGGCTGTCAACATATGAAGTTGTGCAGCTTGTTCCTCAAGATTTTTATTGTATTTCCACCCCCATCTCAGCAACTGTTGAATTGTCTCCCGAACATTATTTAGTTCAACTTCACTTCCAAGATTACCTGCCTGGGTGTATGCACAATTATATTTCTACAAGAAGAAAAAATTCATAAGAAACATTAACTGAAAAACTACATTCCCAGGAATAAGGATAAAAATTAATATCTTCAATACCAAATTATCAATAATTAATACCAACCTGCCAAAGTTTGTCATGGAAAGAAGCAAGGTCAATTAGCCGGTCACCTCTCTCAGAATAATAGTATACACCACCCTTTCCAGAATTTCCTGGATTTCCAAGGATGTCTTCTGCCTAAAATAATGTTCACCCGAAAACAGGCAAGAACGTCAAGAACTAGAATATCATCTGGATTGTATTCCGTACATGAAATACTTAAAATATGTCTATAAGAGAGAACAAGACAGGAAACAAGGTAAGCAAAATACAGATTTAATGTTTCTAAGGACTAGTATCTCACCGGCAAGTCATATTTCATACCAGCCACTATATTTGAGAGCTGAGTAGTGGAATCTGGACATCTAAACTGGAGGATTTCAAGCAATTCTAATACCTGAATTTCAAAGAAAAATGTGGAGTTTAGCAGGAAAACACAAGATGGAGTTTGAAGTGGAGAATAGCATAATTTACAAAGAATTTCAGAATAACAACTATCTCTCATTTATTTACAATGCAGAATGCACAATATAGACATAGACTTTTAAAAGACTAAGTGGGAACTATTTCCAAGGCTAAGAGTAAAGAGTAAATGAGTGCAACTTCCTAAATGCTATGCACAAAAGTGACATGGTCTTGTCAATTTGATTTGGAAACATGGAAGGGTAGTTAAAAATTATAAAACATGAAAGATAACCACGGGTTATTATAAAGATAGGTCAATTAGAAATGGCAAACCAACTATTCACAAGCACCAATGCACGACAAGATACAAACTATGTCAGAATCTTAAGATCAATTGTAAGATATTAGGATCAAATAGATTAGTCCTAGAAATTTGAGGTAAATCTTCTTATTTTAGTCCCCCTTAAATTGAAGAAAAAAAAAATATATCATTCTAGTTCCTCAAATTTTGTAAAGTATGATTTTAGTGGATACACTAAATTTTAAGGACTAAATGCAATTTTAAAAAACTCATATCAGTCCTTCAAATTAAATGCATAAATATTAAAATCATATTGTCTCAATTTTGATGAACTAAAATAAACATTAGTAAATTTGGAAGACCAAAACCAAAGACACCCTAAATTTCAAGGATTAAAAAAATAAATAAGCCATTCTATATTTATGTTAGCCTAAAATAGGGACAGTGAATATTCTATAATTACGCTCTCTCTCCCCTATAAATTGAATAGCTCCATTGTTGTCTAAACACACAATCTCCTAGTATGAATATTGTCCACCCTTTCCCTTCTCTTTCTATTGAGAATGTCCTGTATGTTCCGGAAGCTCCCTTTAAATTAGTGTCCATCAATCATCATAAACAATCATCTTAAGTCTCTTGCTTGTGTCGTTTCACTAACAATTTTGTTTCTTTATAGAACTGAAATATGAGGACAATTGACTTTGGATGTAAGTCTAATGGCCTCTATCTACTCAACAAGCCTTCTCTTGTTGGATCAATGGCAAATCTTCTCTTATGATTCATGCTCGACATCCCAGTCTTGATAAGTTGAAAAAGTTAGTCTCTCTAAGTTCGAGTCTACCTTGCGAGTCCTGTCAATTAGGTAAGCAAGTTTGTAGTTTTTCTTCTAGTCACACTATTAGACAGGCTTCATCCTTTTTTGTTTTAGTTAATTCAAATGTCTAGGGTCCTAGTCATATTTCCTCTACATTAGGATCAAGATATTTTGTAACTTTTATCAATAATTTTTCACTATATATGGTTATATTTGATTGAAAATCGTTCAAAATTATTTTATAGTTCTCAATCTTTTTTGCATGAAATTAACAACGAATTTGGTGTCCTTATTCTCACTTTGCAAAAAGATAATTGACATGAGGATCTGTCTACTAAATTTTAGACCTTTATGGCCCCTCCCTGTGTGTTGAATCAAACATTGTGCCTCAACCCATGACAGACAATTGTTGTTGCACGAAAAAATAGATATCTCCTTAAGACCACCCAAACTCTTCACTTATTTTTAGGGGTGATGCTACATATTATCTCACCAACTGAATGCCCTACTCCATCCTGAAAAGTAAAATCCCTCACCAAGTTATATATCATCCCCAATCTCTTCATCCTTTACAACCTCAGGCCCTTGGTTCTATGTGTTTTGCTCATGCCCTTGATTATGGCATTGACAAACTCTTTCCTTAGTCACATACATATCCTCAATCTCCAACAGGATACAAGTGTTATTCGCGTACTCTTCACAAGCATTTCATCTCAATTGATGTCACCTTTAAAACTTGTTCCAATTTTTGGTCCTACGTTCATCTAAGAGTCTACTCAACTTGTAAACTCACAAGAGTGTAATTCATATGAAAAATTAATATAATAGTTGTAAATAACATACCAATTAAATATTTCAACACCATAACTAAGCATAGAAAACAATAATTTCAAAATACTATAATAACTAAGTTTAGTAATGCATGATTTATATAAGTTCAAACTAAACGAAATAAATAAGTTCATACACCAACAAAACATAAGTTCTTAAATTGATAAGAATAATTAAAAAGGGACAAATGTCTTCAGGTTTCTATATTTCCAATCCCCAATTCCATCATCTCCAAGTTCACTAAGTTTGCTAGAGTCTACTTCAAGTCTATCTGGAGTCTACTCAAGTCTATCCAAGTCTACCACATAAACAAGTTTACAAACAAGTGAACTCATCCGAGTCTATGAAGTGACCCTTAGAGTTTGAAAAACCATGTTGATGGCAGTGAATTGTAGTAAACAATAAAGAATCAAAGATATGCATGCAATGTGATATGTTAGTTCATAATATCAAGTGAACGATGAAGCACTTATTTATCAGTACCTTACTCTTGCTGACAGTTCTTATAGCAGCATTTTCAGAAGTATCATGAGGCAAGAACGGAGACATTGTGCGGCCCCCACCAATGTCATTGATAGCATGTGCAAAAAGATAAGAAAGGATTGTCTGACATGCTTCCCTATGATTGGAGCTCCTCACATCACCCGCGTGTAGTTCAACAGCTAAGAGTTTCAAGAGCCACGCTCTCTGAGAAAGCAATGGAACAAAACACCTATTATCAAATCCAACCTTATATGCTTTAAGGTGTGATGGAACAATACATCAATTCTATGCCTTCCCAACCAATGATATCATTGAGACAAAAATATTAAATAAAGACATTAGTCATGTAAAGATGAAACACTACATGCTTTAAGGTGTTTAATGAAGATTCGTTAGATTAATTTTTATGCCTTAAAAAGTTCCCAGTACTTTTAGTTTTAGTTGTTGATGGAATTAATCATGATAGAGTCGGTATTAACTATTGAACATGATTGGGATGTCCATATGTCTAGTTTTATCCCAGTCACAGATTTTACATCATAAATTGTATTGGTGGGGAAACTGTTATTTTTTACAAAATATCTAATGTCATGTATCAATACATCTTCATTAAGCTTCAGAGATCAATATATGGGTAATCTTTGACTCAATTAAAGACGAGAATAATTCAAAGTCTTACTTTAATTCGAAACACTTATCAACACATGAATAATAACAGAAACTCTACAGTCTTATCCAGCGAAGATAGCTCTCTGTGCATATGCGTGTATTTTGTGCTGATCTAGTGTTGAACAACAACTCACTTATTATTCTTACTACACTGCAACCACTTTTGACTAACTTGTTTGAAACCTTTCACAAATATTGGCAGTATCCTTCAAGGTTTGAATTAATTCTGAACTTACAGATGGTTTGCAAGGAAAAAGTAAAATGAAAAACCTGATGAAGGGAACTGTTACGGAGTGACTGGTTGCTATTCCGTTTAGGAAGCGGAGCTACACCAATGGTATCAAGGTGCTGCATTTTAGCAAGGAAGTTAGAGCGATATCTCTCCCAATGAATTATATAATCATAAACATCTAGAAGGAAAAAAGTTACCCAAATAAACCAAAAAGGATGTTCACCTTAACAAAGAATTGGTACTTTTTATTTGACAACAGATCCATTGTCGGTACACATGTTAGCGGATCTACACACAATTCATAAAGAAGCTGCATCAATCAAAAAGCCAGAATTTCTTTTAGAAAAAAATCGTAAATGACTGGGGAAAATGCAAAATATCTAACTCTTTTCCCAATATTATGCATTAGATAAACAACATCTGACCTGAAAACCAAATTCATGAAGTAATGCATTTACATCAGGCTTCAAAAGCTTTTCCAAAATGTCAAGAATAACCTTCATGCAACTGCAGATAACATTATAAGAGAGAGTTGTATTTTCAAGAATCAAAATATTCAGCAGAGTCAGATAAAAGACAAAAACCTGTAATAAAATTTAGGCTGTAAAACTGTTCGTTCAATAGGTGTATCTAGATCAAATTTAAGTAGCAAATGAGCAATATTTGGAGCTGGCCGGCTGATATTGTCAATTAGAAGCTGAAAACAATAGAAGACAAACAAACACCATTTTAGGAAGACCATACACTAAGAAAGTGGAAACAAAACAAACAAGTTGGACAGGAATGAAGACAAACTTGCATAATAAGAATGCCTGGATCATCGCTGTTATTTTCAAGATTCTGAAACTCTTCGGACCGTAACTCAAGGCAGGCTGCATAATCTTCTATCAAGTTGTTTGACGTATTGCATTTTAGCAATAGTTGAACAAGCCCAACCATGCGAGAGCTATCACAAAAAAAGAAAATACAGATTAAGTTATGCTCTTCAGGTTAGCAGAAGAACACATCAATTACAAATTGAAAAAAAGAAAATGTAAAGGTATTTAAATGCCTTAAAATACTCATGATTTTGATGGAGGATTGCTGAACTTTTGGCTGAAAATCGTATCTGACATACTCCAACAGGGCCACTATTTGATTATGATCATGCGAGAGTATAATATCCAATGGCTGCAAGTAGATCATCAATAATGAACAGTAATAAGTTATCCAATGCTAAAAATCATGACATATTTACACTTCGGTGCAACATAGATACATACAAACATGCATAACACATACCAGTAGCAAATATGTTTGGTTTTCATTTAAACACAGTAAATGGTTAGTATCACATCAAAATAACAGAATTCTATAGGATCAGTGTCCCAACTAAAACACTAAGAAAGCAATTGACATCAGAAAATGAAAAATCATGTATACATAGGGAATCAGAAAATTGACAACGCATCCATATCACTAAACAGTAAATTTTTCAGAAACTCAAACAATGAAAGATGATGAAACACGCAACTTGAAATCTATCTATACATACATACAACTCAAGTATGTGTGTGTGAGTAATGTTGGGAAGGGAAGCATCCTGTTCAGAAGCTGTACCTAAAGCAACGTTTCTCATTAACCAGCTACCCTCAGTCTTAGAATTTAGGAGTCCTATAGATGTTCCTTCTTCTTTCTATCACAACTTTCCTACAACTAATAACCTCTTGCACCATGGATCTTTCACTGTATCTCATTTCTTCATATCCATAGTCAAAACAGGTAAAAACTTGATGCTAGAGTTTTAAAAAACAAGTATTCTTCATATCACACACACACACTTGTGTCAAAACAAAGTGAAGAGCATTGTTTAGAAAATTGAGTTACCTGGTATAGAGGACGCCAATAATCCGAAAGAAGTAAATCTTTATCAAAGACAAGGATCATAATTTCCAGGGCAAGCTGCACAGCATTCTCTAAAAACTGCCCATATAACTGACTGCTGCGTTCAGCAATAACGGAATTCACCCCTGGAAGAAGAATACTCATTATGTTCCGAAAGGCAGTCTTTCCACTCATGAAATCCTGAAATAGACCAAATTATTTAATATAAACTGGTCAATTTAAACATTGAAAATTATAATACAAAAACATGAAATTAATATTAGCATCAATACTACATTGGCTGAATAATTTGTATTAAAAGACATAAAAATCCCCACAGCCTAATAAATTTGCAACGCTGATAGTTGCTCTTTAAGCATAAAAACAAAGAACTGATCCATAAATCTCAACGTTATGGGATCCATTATAACATAACATACGACTAACAAATCCAGAATCAAGGATGATAATCATCAGTGTTGAGATATTATTCAGTCATTGTTCAGTTTTCATTTTGTATTGCCTATTTCATTCCTTAGTAGTATCCTTAGAAGGCCAATATGTATGCTGTAAGTTGCATTAGTTAGTTGTAGCAGCTATATGATAACTGTCATTCACTCAGTTAGTTAGATAGTCGGCCAGATCTCTCACCCTATATAATGGGTATGTTTTGTACACTCATAACATGAATAAAAGAATAACTCTTTTCATCAATCTATTTTCTCCCAGTTTTCTATTTCTGATATTGTACATATCATGTAACGCAATACACAATTCTTACTATTCTGATTTATATATTCGAATAACAAAATTGAAAACACTGCCCACATGCATAGTACACCAGAACAAGAAAATTAACCACACATACTTTGAGCAACTCTAAAACTGGGAGCTGTGTCTGAAGTGGTGATGATTCTTTAGTTGTTGAAAGTCGTGACTGGTCAACTACACCCTCGTAATCCTCATCCTTGATGTCATACATGCTTAATACCCTGCAAATTTAAGTTCATCAAATAACATTCTTATCTAAATCAAACAGCTCATATCACAGCTTGCCCATAGTTTTGGATTATAAAGATCAGTTTCAATCGATAAATAGAAAGGTTATGTTAGCGACTCAATACAACTCAATTTCAAATGTGATTAGAAAAAACCAATCAACCCAATAATCATCATGGCCTATATCAAATAGACAACAGAGACATATTCCAATTATTTCTCAAAACCCTGAAATAGAACCACTCACATGTGAAAATGTTTAAGGCACGCACAGACCAACTGCCATTTTTCACAAGGATCTGCATAGGCTCGTTGAGGAAATGGCCCAAAAACATGGTCATAGATGAACCTAAAGATACCAATAAATCTTGAAAAAAAAAAACAGTTGTTAGACATTAGAGCACAAGCAAGAAAAAAACATGAATATAAAAATTCCAACAAAGGTTTGAAATATACTGCTCAGTACCTTCTCCCTCTATCAGACAAATCACTTTCTTCTGCAATAAGAGCATTTACCAAATTAAGGAAAGATATAGTTGAAGGATATTGTTCTCTCCTTGCTTCAATTTCATTCAGTTCAAATTGCATATCATAAACCTGTCAGATTTACAAGATCACTTGTGTATGAGAGGAAGAACAAGTAATGATTGTGAAGATAAAAAAAACAGGAGAAACGTGATGAAAACAGTGGAGGAAACATATTAACAAAATGATAGAGCTTACAAGAAAGACAAATAAAAAATTAAAAAAGAAGAATGAGACCTATTTATGACTAGTTTTTTTTTCAAGTATATAGATTAACTTTTTAATATACTTTACTGTTAGTTTTAGTACTACAGTTCAAATAAAAATGCAGAGAATAAAAGCAAAACTACACAAGTAGTATAAGAAAATTCTAGCTATTGAGTATATCTATAAATGTGTCATGACCCACAAGGACATGCTGGTTAATGAATACAAGAAAAACAATTTCTTGTTTTACAATATGTTCTTCATAGAAATCAAATCACTTAATCATTTTAAACTTTGACGCATGTTTGGAAAAGTATATTTCTTTCCTATGAAATAACTGGGTTTTTTTTTTCTCAAGAGCTCTTTGATAAAAACTTGGTATCTTAAATATAAAAGAATTTGGAAGAATTCTCAAATGTACTGTTAGGAGAATTCACAGCACAGATAGATCTACTGATATTTACATAAGGGTTACCCAGTGAATAACAATAGAGAAAATTTTAAGAGATAGAACTTCATCATGCCATTCACATGGTAGCCTTACACATAAATAGGGCATCCACACAGAGAGTGGGCTAAACAGCTGGCCCATTTAGGAAAACAAACAAAAAAGTACTGAAATAAGGGCTTAGACAGGTGCATCATACATAATAGTTTCTAGTCTTGCTGAATAGTGGACGAACATTATGTCCAAAGACCCCAATTTACAGACAATCTGCCTTGCTAACTTTCTAACAAAATAAATAATAGAAATTAACAGATTCAACAATCTATCAGGAAGCTAGCAAAACAAAAATGTAACATATCTAAGCATTTTTATCCAACTAACATTTCAAACAAACCCATAGTTGCTAGAGGAGTTGGTTCTCATAGTTTTGAGGGAATTAATTTCTAAAATGTTGATAATAGATAACTTATTCTCAATCAGATATACCAACCTGAGTACCCATGGATTGTGGATTGTTCTGGATATCAGGCCCAACAACTACTGGCAGATCATATTGCTCAAGATAAGTCCAGATGCTATCCTTCAGTATTGGAGAGACCTGAATAAATGTGGCTATTGCATTCCTCAAAGCACCCTATATCAACAAGTATCAAGTTTAGAAAAAAAAAAACAGTATAAACATTTGCATTGGATGTCCAAGCTCTCAACAAAATCAAGAACCAAACTATACTTTCAACTTTCTAGTAAGAACATCATGATATAGCCATCATACCTTAAGATAAGGGGGTACATTTTCGTAACTAAGAAGCTTAAACAGTGGTTCAATATCAGGAAACCAGGTTTTCCTTTCTGTTGGATTCCCATTTTCTACAACCTGTATATACAACAAATGCAAGGTAAAAACCAGTGTTCCTGTCAATAGAATAAAAACTGTGAAGGCAAAGTCTAATGCAGCAATGAAATGTTAGACGCACCACATAACGTAACTTGAATCAACAACATTTTATTAACATTTTACCTTCTTCACTAGAGCTTACAGAAAAGCACACATATAGAATGCTAAGGTATGTTAGAAGTAACAAATTCAGTAACAGAAAGATACATTTACAGCTGTCTATTGACTAAATAACTAATTAACCACCTATGATGCAAAGATACAAAGTGACATATCCGATATGGTGATTCGTCTTATATTAAAAAATATAAGATATAATACGTTTAAGATACATATATATATATATATATATATATATATATATATATATATATATATATATATATATATATTCATAAAAAAATATTATATATAATTATTATTTAAATTGAACATATGAAATATATTTTTAAATATATATATATGACTTTAAAAAAATTTAAATTTAAAATAAAAGTTAACAATAACTACTTATTGTTTAGAAATAAAAATAGTATCAATTTTATCTCCTCTTTGTGGATCATCAGTAAATAAAACAACTTTCATGTCTGATTCATCAAGAGATAATGGTGCTACTCTAAAGTTTCCAACATCGTCAGAGAAATCCCATGCATTTCCACTAATGTCTAACATTTTAGAACACGCCAAAAAAGAGAGGAAAGTCTCACGCTAAAGACAAAGATAGCGAGAGAAAATCAAGAAGAAACAAATGCGGAAACAGATAAGAAACAAACAAGTGATGGAGGGAGCGAGAGAAAATCAAGAAGAAACACGCAACAGCAACATGAAACTATCAACTCTCAGAAAAATAAAATGTTGGAGAAAAGATACGTATTTAAATATTTCAAATCTGTTTTGATTAATTTAACATTAATAATAACATAAAAATATTTGTTATTCTGTTTTTATTTTTGTTTGGATTTTTTTTTCGATTATTTTTCGATACGAATTTTGAAAGTAGTGAGGTGAATCGGTATCGGATACGTATCTGATACAAATATGTTGGGCTTGCCAACGTATCAGTGCATCAAAGTTAACCATTAACAGAATAACAAACTATTCATTACCATACACTAAAATTTGCACAGAACTTAATGTATCAACTTCTATTTTCGCAAGGACCAAGTTTAAGCATACAAGGGATTCAATATAAGCTGACACAAGAAAAAGGATAAAATTATACCTTCTTTAGAACATTTAGGTATGCCACAAGGGCTTTAGCATCCCCCTCCTGAATCTCAGGTAACATAGCTCCAGCAGTTTGAAGAGACTGTTTGAATTTCTCATCATAAATTGTTAAGCATTCAAATAAAGTGCTCCATCCAATTGAGCGGAATGCTTTACCTTGCAGCAACTCATAAATCTTTGAAGCACCTTCTTGACTGCAAGCCTAGAAAACAGTTTCCCAAAATTAAATGCTATAAGAAAGGTTTTGAAGAAAAATTGAGATATCAAGATAGTAAAAAAATCCATCCCTACCAAGGTGCTCAGCATATTCAAGAATGCTACAAGCGTTTGGAAATTCGTATGGTCCTCTCCAGCAAAATTTACAAATGTCCACAACACATCATTTCCGGACAAGAGCTCTGGTTCTTTCTGATAACTTATGCCAACATTAAAGGTCATGATTGAAAGCAAAAGCCTTAAAAATCAGCAAGCACACTACTTAAATCTGATATGCATAAAATAATGCATCCAAACCCTATAATCATGTAACCACATAGCTTATACAGATTTTTTTTCTACACAACAAATATATAGAAGTTTTATTAGGGAAAAGGATCATCTAACATCAGCCTTAATAACTACCATCAACCATTTGAATCATCAGATCTATTCCAAACTTGCCTTTATAGCTCATAAGAATAGAAAATTTTAATGTTTTGTTTCCATTTCGTCAAACTGACCTGATAAATTTCGCTCACAAAGTCCAAGATTGAATTAAATGGTAAAGGGGCCATCTCAGTGCCATTTAGAGAACTTGAATTACTGTCCTGTGTAAAATCATGAGATCCAACAACTCGATATGGACTAAGAACGGTCATAATCCGCTCCTTTGATTCTTTTATCTGCAAAATATATAATTGTAAAGATAAGTACAGAACTAACTATTGTTAAGATAGAAAATACACCAAAGTGGATAAGAATATATTTTTCTTATTAATTATCAAAACAAAATATTGTCTGCCACATGTATTCCAATTTCACTAATTCGAAACAAATTCAATGTGACTGAAAGAACTAGATATTCAAGAATAGAAATGAATATTTAATAACGATTTTCTAGAAACAATCAACCTTATGGTCTAAAAAGGAAAATCATTTAAAATTTGAATAAAAATCAGACCACTAATGTTAAACTAATGATTGGAAAAAGGCAAAAAAAATTTAAAGAGCTAAAGGTGATGTCCAGTAATACAGTCACCATCCTGATTTCCTAACCATCACGTTCAAAACCTGAAAAGAAATGGAAAGAGATCTATTGGGTCTTATATTGACATCATATTGAAGCCAAGTACAAAAATGAGAAATAACCCAAAGAATAATGAGGAAAAAAAAATACCTTTCAAATGTAAAATTTCATTTATTTTGAATGAAACAAAAGAGGCAACCAAAATTTAGCAAACGTGTATGGAGGTACAGAGAACAAGGCAAATAGAAATAGTGAAGTTAGACAAATAAGCTTTGTGCACTCAATCAACCAAATAAGCTTGTTCTATGTGTAGGAGCAGAAATAATTAGTAAACCTTGTCTCTTGCAAGAGGGTTAGACAAGAAGCAGGTAATCAGCTTGTGCAGATAAGCATTGTACATGTAGACCATATCTTCATCTTCGGTCTGTAAGATAACAAGCACCCATCTCAATCGTGTATCAATGAAGTATAGTTATGACTCAAGAAAAGTTACAGTAAATACAAATTCAACAAGTGATATTGCACAAATTCAAATCTAGAAATACATAGAATTATTTGTAGTATACTCCTTCAGAATCTAAATATTTTGGTGCATAGAAGAGAAAACTATAAAGAATTCATGTAAATCATCCCATTCGGGACAACTTTTCAAAGGTGATCTAGAACCTCCCAAAGACCAGGATAGGAATAATTATAAAAAACTAATTTGTATGATATAAATGATTATAACTGTTAGGAACCCAGAATTGGAAAGAGAAAGGAAAGAAAGCTTTTTATTGAATAGGATGGAAAGAACAACAAAAAAGAGAGAAACCCCTCCTCCAAGGGTTTCCCCTTTACAAAAAACTTCTCTTTTGGCAAAGACCTAATGCTTAATCAACAAATTAACAGCTTTGAATCTCCAATTCCCCTTGCATCCTACTATTTATTTAACTCCCCTAACTAATCCTAACTGTATTAACAAACTCACCAGTCTCCTTATATCCTAACACTAGCATATATCTGGTTACTTTCAACAACACCCACAAATAGCTCATAATATCAACACTTATTATGTCATAAGAATATTTTGTAGTATCTTAGGTGATCTCTAAGAATAGGTTTTCATATTTCCTCATGTTTCTTTCTCGATATGTTTCCTTCGTTAATTAGGATTTAGTCCAGTAAAAGAATAGGAATTCATGTTCTCCTTTGTAACTTCCTTGGCAAAAACATCAATATTATTTTGTAGTTCTGAAGGATTATAATAAGCAAAAAAAGAAGGATTATAATAACATTGAAATTTGTAAACTGAAAAAAGACTTTATTAAAGTACTTGAGGAAAGAGAAAATTTGTTTTTTCTATAAACTAAAACAATACATATAACTCAGTTAATATACACTTGCAAAAAAGCCTTTCCACTAACATAATCAAAGTGCTAGCCTTTCAGAAATTAAACCAAATTCACTTTTACAGGTAATTCATTAACATAGATACAGAGAGATAGAACAGCTTTGCCCCATTCTTGTTTTCACTTTTCTTGGTAGCTTTATTTTCCCTTTTCACCCCATGAAAGATCCCTTGTCCACTCAATTGAATAAATTTTTCATCAAAAAGTGAAAACAAAAATTAAAAATAGCATATAAATGTACCTGGAAGGCAGCAGTACGAAGAACTTTATCAAGTAAAAACTGAAAACCATTATTTGAGAAAATGACTTCCAAACATTGACTAAGATAACCCAGTTCATTTGATGAACCACTTGAAATAGTTTCTCTTGTTGAAACACCATCTTGTATCAACATCAAATGTACCACCCAAGCAAGCCGTATGCCACCAACAAAGCCCTCAACAATTGGATCATTTCCAGCAGTCATTACCTTAAGCATGAAAGAACTTCAGCATTATTCTATATTGGTACTAAATATCATAAACAATTACTACAGAGAAAGCAGCAATTATCTTTCATCTTACAAGTTCATGAAATTCGTGTCTGAAGGAAGTATTAGAAGAAAGGACAGATGCTTTATCAGGCACTGTACTCAAACCATCTGAAACAAATGCAATCACAAGGGCAAAGAGAAGACAAAAGGTAATCTGCAATAACAAATTGAAATTATAAGCAAGTAACACATTTTAACAGCAAAGACACCCAAGACAGAAAAATAAAAGCAAGTGCAGCTTCATACTCATGTGGAAGCAAGTATGCCTCAAAATATTCATTTTCTCATAAAAATTAAACTTTTCATTTTCTCATAAAAATAATAAAATATAAATATAAATAAAATAGAAGCTATTCATTCTACACCTCAACAATCTAACTGCTGCCTCTGAAACAAAATTAAAAATTATTTAAATGATGAATTTTTAATTTTACATTCAAAAAAACATGTACCAAGCTAAGCAATTTGCTCATATTAATACACTTGGAAGTTATTTAAATCAATGCTGTAAAAATCAAGATCTAACTTAGGATCCGATGAAATATACTAAATATAAGGATCATAATAAGAAAGATTTACGATAATAATACATGTGAAAAAGGTGATATATAAATATGGAAAATATCAAAACATAACACTGAACTAAAATAAAACTAAAAATTCATATTCACGGATATGGGTAACCTTCTGTATACCCATTAATATATAATGTTTAGATTAGCAACTACTGAATCTTCCAACCATGATTCATGCATACCTGTTCATATGAGTTGAAAGACTGCACATCATATCTGATAACTACAACATTAGGGATTGTTCAAAACTACATGTGGTTAATAAACGTGCCTGGTTTGCAGAATGCATTTAGGGTATTGGTGGTTTGACGGGTATAGTCAAAATAGTTCCCAAAAATATGTACACCAAAAACCTATTCTCTTTATCTATCTATCTATAACCTTGTGTTTGGAAAGGAAATTAGGTAATTTCCAATAAATTCAAATATACTGAATCTAAATTGTTTCTATTTTAAATTTTTTTATTTTTCAAATAATTTTTTCGAATAAGACAATTTAAATTTATTAGATTTTAATTTTCTTGTTTATATAGAATATTTCAATCACTAAAAGTTATCATCATTAGACTTGTCAATTAAACCTAGTTCACAGCACTTGACCCTTAGCATAGGTTAGATCGAGATGGACCAAGACGAGCTAAATCAAGTCAAGTCAAATTGGGACTGACCGGGTTGGTAGGTCAAGCCACGTCGAGGCAAACTAGACTGGGTTGCAAAGATAAGATCAAGTCTAGCCAAGCTAAACCAAGTTAGGCTGAGTCAGTTGGTGTTAACATAAGACGATTGTGTTGTGTAGAATCGGATCAAGTTGGTTGAGGTCAAGTAGGAAGAGATGGCTAAGTCAAATCGGAACCATGAGAAGAACTTGCGAAAATTAAATAGGTTGGGTTAATCGAGACAAGACGTGCAAATTCGAGAGAGGTCAAATCAAAATGGGCCAGATTAGGACAAGTTATGTTGTAATAGGTTGGGTCATAATGGGTCAAGTCGAGGTGAGCAAACCTAGTCCAAAAAGTTAGGCCAGGTCTGATTAGAAAGATTAGATTAGGTTGGGACAAGTTCGGTCAAGTTGCGTCTAATCAAGCCGAGATAGAACAAACTAGGTTGAGTCAAGTCAAGCCAAGTCAAGATGGGATGGGCCAGGTAGAGAGCGGTTGGATCATAACGAGTCAAGTATGGTTCAAATGTGTCAAGCCCAGTCATAACAGGTTGAGTTGGGATGGACCAAGTCATGACTAGTAAGGTCGGGCCAAATTGGGCCAGGCCAACTTGGACGAACTAGGCCATTTTTATTTCGGTCAAGCAGTATCAAAATGGGTTTGAACAAAGTCAAGATAGGTTGGCCCAGGTCAAAATGGGATGTAACAAGCTAAAAAAATCCCAATTGAGACCAAGTCAAAATGAAAAATGAATAGAAGAGACATAAATTTGAGAAAGAAAAAGTACAGGGAATTTCAAATTATTGACATTTTAGGTAGAATTAGAAATTCTCTGATTTTAGTTAATCAAATTACTCTTATAAAAATCTTAAATTACAATTTCTTTCAAAATTCTCAATCCAAACAACCTATTTTGTCATGAAGCATTTCAAATTCATTATTAAATGAATTACCCTCTACATATTCTCCATCCAAACACAAGGTGAAGATATAAGTATAGATAACACACACACATATATAATGTAATATAATATAAAATATAATAAATACAAGTAAGTCAAATTAGTGCATGAAACATAATTTTAGGAAAGTATGCTTGTATTTTCTAAATGAAGCTAGTATTAAAATGGATAAATTCAAGTTAGGACCACAATAAATCAAAGCATAAAAAGGAGTTTCTTATTTCAAACAATAGATAGGTAATACCAAAGAGTATGCTCATAATCCACAACAAAGATTAAGTGCAAGGCACAGCAAAAGACTTCCACTTATGTTGGAAAAAGCAAGCAAAAAGGTCTAAGAGTGTTAGACAAAGACAAGAAGATGCAGATCTGTATTATAGACACGAAGATGACAAAGACAAAAAGCAAGAGTTATGGTTAAAATGACTCGATGCAAGCAGTAAAGTTCGAGTGTGAGAGATTATGCAAATCACATAGTAGTGAGAAAGGGAATCAATATTCAATTAATTTAGGGGCATAACAAATGGGTTGGATAGAAAATGGGTTTAACTTAAAAACTCGACCGAGAGAAAGACCAAGGCTACACAGATTGTGTGATCTTGGATGAGGAAGATCACATTAGGAAGAATCTTGCAAAAAAACAATACCACAACCAATCTTGTAGCAGATTTGGCTAGAAAAATCCTGTGATCTTTAGCGCACTTTTGACAAAATTGGCTACGAATCTTTTCTAACAACTAACCTCTATTCCATCTTCCCTTGTCCAATCTCTACATTAAATTTCTATCAATTATAGTAAAAGCAAAAAAAAAAAAAAACTTCATTTTCACCTCATTAGTTTCATTGAATAGATTTAGAGATGAAGATTACAATCATTGAATACATTTATCATTATTTTCGTAAAAGATATTGCAGAAACTGCACAACTGCAAAAGCATGCCTATACTTGTACCTTTCATCTAAGGAAATGCTTCTTTGAAATGACAAATAATGTTAACACCAAAGAACAACATGAGGACCAGCATGCCAGACAGTGCACCTAATCATAGAGCACAAAACTCAAAAAGAGGAAGATGAATAAAATTTATAGCTTGAATAACAACTTTGTACTATGTGACATTTGTTGAACTGTTTAATGCTAAAGAAATTATGATTTAAGAATCATTAATGCTCCACCTCAAAATCCAACAAAATATACAAAATTTAGCTCAGAAAGAATATATAAATGCACCTGATGTTGTACAGTGGTATTGCTCTCGGTAACTTCAGAAGCATTATCTTTCAAAACTGAAAAAATATCTTTTATATCCTTTGGACCTGAAAACAGAGATTGTTAATGAACATTCATTCATGATATTAATCAAGTACTCAAGAAACATAATCTGTCACAAAATAAAATACAATAATCAACCAAGTAGAACCTCAGCAGACATGAAAGACTACTAAACATACTTGTCCGAACAACTAGAACTGTAAGGACAAGACAATGTCCCAGAATAAGTCTTTCTCTAGAGACCACTGCCTGCCTCTCCACAAGAGAACCTCTTGAATCAAGAACAAAGCGATCACACTGAGGACCACCCAAACCAGAAGGTTCTTCTCTATTGAGTTCCTACATTCAGAAAGCAAATTCTTATAAAAATCTATATTTGCATTCAAGGTTAACCAAAAGGTTACATAATCATATAATAAAATAAATTAGATACTCTACTCAAGATTAATAAACTGAACCACCACAGACTTCAATAGGTTGTTAATGTTGTAATGCTATGCTTTTAAGATATATAGTTTATTGATCATGGTTCTTCAAGAGATACTTAATCCATAGTGTACAAGACATATACTTGTGCATTAGACAATGTCATGAGTTATGAAATATGAACTCACATATAATACAAGATTAAAAAAATATGTTTAGGATATTTACCAGCCAATGAGGAGCAACAATAATCGGTATAAACTGCCAGTTTATTAACACCCATAATTTGTAAAATCAAATTACTACTAAATATATAAATATTAATTATAATGACCAATTACATCAAATGTTATACAGTTTAAACAATGTAAGCCTCGACAAGGGCAAAGTGCGTATAGCCACTATATGAAAAATATCATCTAGTAAACTCTGATAATAACTTGCCTCTACTTGCAACTGACGATTGTTAGAGATATGTTTTTGTAATGTCTTTTATGTTGTGGTTTCTGAACAGTTGTTTGTTATTATAGTTCCTTGACAGTTGTTACAACTGATCTACCACTCATACAGTACTCCTCCGTCCACATATGGGTTCTGTAAGAGGATTACTCATTTTGTAATTTTCTTCTAATAATAAATCGTATTTGTTGACAGATTTAATATGGTATCAAGAGCTAGTTGATCCTCTTTTGTGGCTTCTACCAATTTTTTTTTTCTGATTCTATAGTTTTCATAGATCCTAATTCTTCTTGCCCTCCTCCAATAGATTCTCGTTCTTTGATTTTTGTCACTGCACCAATCACATTTTTGCTTCAAATTACAAATAAGCTTGATGATAAAAAAAATTGTTGTGGCACCAATAGGTTGAACTTGTAACAAACCACATCATGTACTTCACTTTGTGGTTATTCCTCAGATTTTGTCGTGGTTTCATACAAAACAAGATCATGATATTAATTGTCCCAATCCAAAGCATTTCTGAATTTCTTGGATAATTGCAAGTTTACTGATAATATTACTATTGAAGAAGTTGAAGGTTTAATTCTTGCATAAGAATTGTATTTACAAAAGTATAAGAATAAAGAATCAAATTTTGTCTTTTTTGTTAATATTACTCAAGCTCCACTTGTTCCTTTTGCACATTTTCTTGATTAGCAATATGCTTCTTTTGCACATGTTCTTGATCAGCAATCTCCTTTTGCTCATATTCTTGAACAACAACTTCAACACAACAATACCAAACAAAATGCCCAATTTCAGTACATTGATTTTTGCAGTGCTAGAAGAGGTCGAGGAGGTCATTTTGGTACTAATGAAGGAGGTCATGGTGGTCGTAATTCTATGCAATGCCAAGTTTTCTTCAAATATGATCACTACTCTGTTTTGTCATCACAAGTTTTATTCTGAATATCAACCATCTTCTATGCCTCTTTCCTATGTTATACCTTAACTAAACCCATTAGTTGCAGGTCTAGGTTACTTTTCAACATCATATTGGCCTCAACAATCTCACAATCCTTATCAATATACTTGTCCCACTCAATCATAGGCTATGTTTACAAATACTGCACCTTCTCTATCTCAAACTTTTGGTTTCACTTGATATTCAAAAACTGAGAAAAAGTGTTTTTAGAGGGCTTGAAGAACCCCTCTCATAGTTCTATATTTATATAGATAAAAACTGATACAATAGGGAGATTACATTAAATGCACAGTCCTAGATTACTCCTCAGAACTAGGTGCAGAGATTATCTAACACTCAACCCCCTGCAGAGATTATCGAACACTCAACCTCCTACCTTAGGTATAATTATTACATATATTTTCTAATTTATTCCAACACTCCCCCTCAAGCTGGAGCATACAAGTTGTATGTACCAAGCTTGGAACAAATGAACTCAATCCGAGGTCCCCTTAAGGACTTGGTAAACACATCTGCGAGTTGGTCATTTGATCCAACAAACTCGGTACATATTTCTTTTGTCAACAACTTTTCACGAACAAAGTGGCAATCAATTTCTATATGTTTAGTTCTCTCGTGAAATACGGGATTTGATGCAATGTGGAGTGCGGCTTGATTATCACAATACATCTTCATAGTCTGGATATCACGAAGTTAAGCTCTTGAATGAGTCTGTTTTACCCATATAAGTTCACAAGTTAGTGACGCCATTGCCCTATATTCGGCTTCAGTTGTCGATCGAGCCACTACATTTTGTTTCTTACTTTTCCATGAAATAATGTTTCCTCCAAGGAAGACACAATATCCGAGTGGTAGGCCGGTCTATCAACAGGTGAACACGCCTGATCTGCATCACGGTACCCGGTGACCTGAATGCTTCCTTTATCTTCATATAACAATCCTTGTCCAGGAGCCTTTTTAAGGTACCTTAGAATGCGAATGATAGCATTCCAATGACCAGGCACATGGAGTCCGCATGAGCCGACTAACCACTCCAACGACAAAAGATAGATCGAGGCCTTGTAATAGTGAGATAAATCGGTTTTCAGACCAGCCTCCTATATCTCTCTGGATCAGAGAATACTTCACCTTCTTCTGTTGTTAATTTCTTATTTGGGTCCATAGGACTCTCTACAGGTTACTGATCAATCATACCTGTTTCTTGTAATATATCAAGAGCATATTTTCTCCGAGAGATTACAACTCCATCTTTTGATTGAGCTACTTCAATGCCCAAGAAGTATTTTAGGCTTCCCAAATCCTTGGTTTGAAAATGTCCGCACAAGTACTCCTTCAGTTGAGATATTCCAACGAGTATCATTTCCTGTAATGACTATATCATCAACATATACTATTAAGTAAACACATTTACCCAGAGATGTATGACAATAAAAGGCTGAATGATCTGCTTCACTGCGTCTTAGCCCAAATTTTTGAACAATGGAGCTAAATTTTCCAAACCAAGCACGTGGTGATTGCTTGAGGCCATATAGAGAACGATGCAATTTGCATACTAGTTCGAGACTCCCACGAGCAACAAACCCAGGAGGTTGCTCCATGTAAATTTCGTCCTCAAGATCACCATGTAGGAAGGCATTTTTGATATCTAATTGATGAAGTGGCCGGTGACGAATGGCGGCCATTGCGAAGAACAGACGAATAGTGGTCATCTTGGCCACGGGAGAGAAAGTGTCACAATAATCAAGGCCATAAACACTGAGTGTACCCTTTTGCAACTAACAGAGCCTTGAGCCGATCAAGCTGCACCATCGGGGCCGATTTTAATAGCATATACCCAGCGGCAACCAAGCGCCTTTTTGCCGGTGGAAGGGGAACGAGCTCCCAAGTAGCATTATGGTCAAGAGCCCGCATTTACGCAATCATGGCTTGTCGCCATCCAGGGGTGATCAAGTGCTTCTTCCACATTTCTCGGAATAGCAATAGAAGATGCCGAGGATAAAAGGGAACAATAGGAAGGCGACAACTAGGTGATAGCTAAGAAAATTATAAATAGGATGTGGGTTTCGAGTGGAGCAGTACCTTTTCTCGGAGCAATGGGCCATCCTGAATCACCTCCACCAGGAGTCATGGTAGGAAGCGATGTTGGAGAAGAATCTAAAGTGGGGGATTCACCCTCGTCTTGGAGAACGAGGACTAGCCATCGGGGTCCTATGATTGACAACATCAATTTGAGGGGAGGATGGTTCGGGAAGACTTGGATCACTACGGAGATCGATAGAGACATTGGAAATATTAGACTCAACAACTGGAATGGGAAGAACCTGTTGTATGACATGAACATCTTGAACAGAAGGAGAAAAGTAAGGAGTCTGTTCAAAAAATGTAACATTGGCGAGACATGTAGTACTTCTTGGTTTCAGGAGAGTAACACCGATACCCTTTTTGAAGGCGGGAATAGCCCAAGAAGACACATTTGATAGCACGAGCGGAAAGCTTGTCTAACCCGGGAGACATATCATGAACAAAACATACACTAACCAAAAACTCGAGGAGATGTGTGAAAGAGAGGATTATTTGGAAATAGAATGGAGAAAGGGATCTTATTGATGCACTGAGAGAGGAAGATGGCATCCCCGGTGATGGACGGGAATATGAGCACCCGGCAAAAAGTACGTGCGGTTTCAACCAAATGTCTATTTTTTCTTTACGCTATACCATTTTGTTATGGTGTATGAGGACAGGTGGACTGATGCAATATTCCATGTGAACTCAAAACGAGTAGAAAAGGTGGATGAGAAGTACTCTTTAGCATTGTCGCTTCTTAAAATTTTGATTACTTGACTGAATTGATTCTTAATTTCATTCAAAAAGGATGTAAAGATGGGTAACAATTCAGAGCGATCTTTCATAAGATAAACCCAAGTACATCGTGAATATTCATCAATGAATGTAACAAAATACCGAAAACCAAAAGATGAGATGCGACTGGGTCCCCAAATATCAGAATGGATAATAGAGAAACTGGAAGTACACTGTGATTGAGACCGTTTAGGAAAGGTAGATCTAACATGTTTTCCTAGCTGACATGACTCACATTCTAAGGTCTGGAGACCACTAAGTTCAGGACACATTCTTTTTAATTTTGACAAATGAGGATGGCCAAGCCGATCATGTAACATTTTAGGGCTCGGAGTAGCAACACAGGACACACGTGGACGAGGACCAAAAAGATATAATCCTCCAGCTTTATATCCTTCTCCAATTTGTCTCCCCGAACCACGCTCCTGTATAACAAAAGATTTGTTATCGAAGGTTATTGAACAATTTAAGGTTTTGGTTAACTGACTTAAGGAAATCAAATTGAAAGGACAATTAGGAATAAAAAGGACAGAGTTTAGGCTTATGGAGGGAGATAAAGAAACTTGGCCCACTCCCTTTGAGGAAGCTTTAGAGCCATCTGCAAGGGTTATGAAATGTTGTTTTTCTTGAAAGGAAATGGTTGAGAACAAGGAGGTATTACCAGATATATGATCAGAAGCACCAGAGTCAATTACCCATGAATTTTGACCCTCCATAGATTGAGAAATGCAAGCAGTTGATGTGCTAGCAGTTTGAGAGGTATGTGCCAAGCTATTAGACTTTAACCGTAGATACTCTTGGTATTCGTCCTCGGTGAACTTGGAGTTGACGGTTTCGGCCTTGGAGACATTGGCGGTTTTGGGAGGAAAACCATGCAAGGAGTAGCGGTTCTCCTGTGTATGACCCATCCTCTTACGGTAGGTGCATTGGGGACGTCCTCGACCTCCACGTCCTCCTCCTCCGGTGCCACGTCCTCCTCTTCCTCGTGTGGCAACCATGGCGGATGGTTCTACTAGAGCCGAGCTTCTCGAGTCTCGGACATTGGTACACGAATCGGACGTGTGATAAGGGTATCCATGGAAGGGACTTCATAAGTGGTCAGAAGTTGATCTCCGATATGGTTAAAGTCGGGATGTATTGCGCGAAGGATCATCACCATGTAATACTTGTCAAGCTTCTTTTTCATTTCATCTAAGGAATCGACTTCCAAGAACATCTTGAGTTCTTCCACGGTACGATCGGGCGTCATTCATAAAGGACACCATATCATGATCTGTCATTTTTAGAGATGCCGGCTTATTTGCGGAATCGTAGAGACGTTGAATATCATTGGCATAAATGGTTTGAGCTTTCTTCCAAAAGGAGTGACAAGTTTTGAAGGCTCTAAGCGACATCAAAAGTCTTGGTTCCACCGATTGCCACAATAGAGCACATAGGCTGAAAATCTGCTGTTTCCACTGTTCGGCTTTTTCTTCGGCACATGGCTTCAGTCTTTTTCAAGGTGGTCGTGATGCCCTCGACCGAGAAACCACATTTCGACGGTAGCGAGACCAAGATAGATAATTTCGTCCGTTTAGTTTTTCGGAAGTAATGGAGGGGCTTCCGAGAGAATGAAATTGCGGCCATTTCGATCAAGAGGACAAAGACCGAGTGAGGAGGGGGCGAAAACGACAAAGAAGTCCGAAAGCCCAAGAGTGATTTCCGCAAGGGTGACTACTGGACTTCACCGAAATGAAGAGGCGGCGCGTGGCGGAGAACAAGCTTCGGGACCGACGGGGTTAGGCTGTCGCACGGCGAGACGATTCGGATCCGGTGGTCGCCGCGAAGCCGGACGATCGGAGACGGTGGCCGGAGGCGGCCGGAGTCGGACGGTGGCCGGAGTCGGACGGTGGCCGGAGTCGGACGGTGGCCGGAGTCGGACGGTGGCCGGAGTCGGACGGCTGAGTCGGACGGCGCGTGCGCGACAGCAAAAACAATGCCGGATACTACGAAACAGGCGGAGCGGGATCGACCCGCTCGATACCAACTTGATATTCAAAAGCGAGAAAAAGTGTTTTTAGAGGGCTTGAAGAACCCCTCTCATAGTTACGTATTTATATAGATAAAAGCCGATACAATAGGGAGATTACATTAAATGCACGAGTCCTAGATTACTCCTCAGAACTAGGTGCAGAGATTATCTAACACTCAACCCCCTGCAGAGATTATCTAACACTCAACCTCCTACCTTAGGTATAATGATTACATATATTTTCTAATTTATTC